AGACATGATTTTTTCGGCAATTTCCATATTGTGGAGGACAAGAACATTCGTTTTTTTTTTTCGAATTAATGCTAAGAGCATGTCTTTTTGCCCACATAGCTAAATTTTTTGATATCTTGGTTGATAAAGTCAGTGGCATGTATATTTTTTTGGATGAAGAGCTATAAATTTGTGTATAGTCGGCATATAGGTGAACCTTGCAAGATTTTAAGACTGTTCCGATATTTTTAGTATAAATAGTACAGGTTGTAATATAGATCCATGAGGAACTCCAGGTCGTACCCTCATAGAATCAGAAATAGTTTTATTAATTTTAACACGTTGGCTTCGATCACTTGAGTGACCTACATCATCAGAAGAAAACTCTATAGAATGAAGTACGACACACAGCAGGGGAATGATTTAAGGGTATCGAATGCTTTACTAAAGTCTATTAAGATTAAAACCTAAATGTTACCATCATTCCTAGCCTTTAAAATATCATTAGTTAGATTTAGAAGTGCAGTTTCATAATTATGAGATGGTCTGAATCCTGACTGATACTCTGGTAAAATAATTATTCTTTCAAGTACCTCTGAGAGATGACCCGATCGATAGACTGACAATCGTTAGTTTGCTATTTAAAAGTTCTTTAGCAAAGAACTTCGCTGTTAAATTCATCTTTATGCCTTCTACAGAAGAAACTTGGCAGATTTTCTTCCTTTTGCTAATGCTCAGAAACGCAGATAGCATCAAATTGATATTCCGATAAAATTTTATTAGATAGACACTGAGATTTAACATGAAAAATACTCACTGAAAATGTCATGAACAATACTGATAACATAACTGCTGACATAAAAAGAATTTTAAATGTGCATTTTTACTTTCCTATCTGTATATAAATAAGGAATCTTGATTTAGAAGTATGTAATAACTAGATAGGAAAGTCATGTGTTGGATACATCAGATTTTTTCTTCTTAAATTTAAGCTTGGAAAATGTTGGCAATGTCATTTTGAAAGCTGTTTTCTCGAATCCAAGAAAATTATACATACTTGTAACGCTTTAGATTCAGAAAATACTCGGGCGCTAGATTTAATATGGTTTACTCCACAAGTTCACGTTTCGATACTGCGTCAAAAGAGCTTAGGCAACGCTAGATGGAGATAAGGATATTCCAAGGGTCAAAATGGTGTCGACTTATATTTAAACAGGTAACAATAACGAGTTTTGTTATTATTACAATAATTTCAGAGTGCTGATAAATAAACATTGTTTTCTGAGAGAAAATAATTTGAAGAGTTTTGGAATTCTCCAAAGGACACCATAATATTTATAAACCTTCGATCAGGAAGTGGAAGAAAAAGTTATTTAACAGGCGATCAGATACATCTAAATAGATAATTATTGCAAAGTGAAAATTGTGTTGATTAAGGGTGAAAAAATTATTTACTAATTTGACTTACCATAACATATCGTAAAGATTTCTCTTAACATAAATTATCCCAACCATTGTTGTTTCCAATCGCCACTTTAGGTAGAACCTACCAGTGAATGATCGAGTGGGTAATCCTATCTCTGCTGCGATAGTGACAAAAGGGTGTAAACTAAAACTACCAAGATTTTATAAGTTTATTTTTTCTAAATATTGGTATATTTTTATAAATGCATATAATACGTACAATGTTGCGAACACAACAAAAAAAAATAATTATGCTATTTGACCAAACACAAAATTCTTAAGCAATAGCTCGTTGAAAGACATTTGGCGTAAAATTTGTCTAAAAATACAACCATACAATTTCTTTAAATCTCAAATAGGACATGTACAGATGAAAGTTTAAATATATCTATATCCTATATAATTTACATTAATAATTATTAAGTAGACAAAAATCAGTTAGATGCGCTTCAGTTCTTTTGTTTAAGATGAAAAAATTGTACAATAATGAAACACTCAAGGATCTTCTTATTATATAGATTTGGTAAAAATGTTATGCCAGTTTACAATTTAAAAATTCTCAGTGCATTCTAAGAAATGGGAATTCTTCTTTCTTTGATTAATTTGAACCCAACAGAGAATGTTCGAGTGGGAGAATCCTATATTAGAATTAAATTAAAATTAATTAGTATAAATTAGATTCTAATCCTTCTAATAAGAAGATTATGCAGTTTCTTAAGAGGTTAAATTGGAGCAATCTGTAGAATTTAATTCAGAAGTGATGGATGACATTCAGAAAAAATGAGAAAACATGTCTAAAGATAATGCAGTGTTAAGAAAGGAACAAAAAGTCCTAAAAAATAGAGTTGAAGAACTTGAAAGGAAGTTTGAGAAATTTAATCATTTTGCCGAAAAAGAGGAAGTAGATCAGAAGGGTAAAAATGTCATTATATTTGGTTTGTGCAGTGGAAATTCAGTTAAAGATGATATTAAAAAGGTATTTAAAAAAATGAAGATTGAAATTGAAGATAGTGAATATGGAATACAAACATTGCCAAGTAAGGAATCTAAAAAACCAGTACTAGTAAAATTGAAAGAAAAGTCAACCAGAGGTAAATTATTGGAATTGAAGAAAACGATAGATACACTCGAATGTGGAATTGATGGTGATCATTAATGAAGATCTACCAAAGAGTATCCGGATGTTGCATAATAAAGTCAAAATTCTTAAAAACCATGCCTATAGATTTGTATGGTATAAGAATGGGACTGTGTATGCTAGGAAAGATGAAGGTTTATAATAATAAAACATTCCCGACAAATCGAATGTCTCTACCTGATCAATGTAAAAATAAATCTCTAGAAATCTTTAAAAAATTACTGAAAAGTTTGTGTTTATGTATTGTTAATTTTCTTATTGCATGTGTCTATATAAAATGTATATTAAATAATTTAAATCTAAATAACAATGTATATTTGTATTATATGAAATGTTTGTATTTGGTACTCGGTTGAGTGGAACAGCTATGCTGGACTCCGCCGATGCTTATTAAAATAAAGACGTTTATTATTATTATAATTATTCGGAAGTTTATTCTAAGCACTAAGCCACCCAACCTCTGGCCCTTCAAAGTTGGATCACAAAACACAACCTTTGATTACAGATGGATTCGGTTAGTCAAGAGATGGGAAAGTTAGGAACAGTGTTTTTAGGGTACTTTTAAATGTCACTTGAGCGTGTGGAAGTGTCACTAATCAGAATAAATGAATGTTAAAAGAGTTGGATGAAGTTAAAAGAGCGAAAACAACAAATATGACAGTGATGGTCAACATATGAGAGAATACTTGTTGATACAATTTGGATTTTAACCAAACTGGTGAATTAGCTGCGATTCAAGTTGAATAAATGCAATAAATTTTTGTTTTCATATCTGAAGACAAAAAATTGAAATGTTGTAACATCGAATATACCAGCCATTAATAATTCACATTAAATTAAAAATGTTGGGTCAACATTTTAGATGGGATACCTAATTAATGATGAAAGGGTATTATATAAACTTAATATATCACCACAAAGATCAAAGAAGATAATGTTGTGCCGAAATATGGTTCTATTATTAATTAAAAGAAAAAAATAGAAGACTGAAGCGAAAAAAAAAAAGTGTGAGAGAAATCGCATAACAAAGAATGTTATATTAAAAAAATGTTATATTAAAAAAAAAATGTAAAATAGCAAGAAGTAAATCAAAGAATCTCGTACACAATCAGTGGGTACTGACATTGTGTAAGTAAATGGGTCTCTTCTTAACTGCTGAAACTTGTTTTACCTTTAATCTATTAAAGTCCCTATTGTAAATTTGCACAACATTTTTACCAAATATTATACTAACTTTTTAAAAAATCATGCACCACAATTATAAAAATATTTATAAAACATTACCTACTTACAACCTCCATTTTTAAATTAAAATGTCAATAGACTTCACTAGTAGTAAAACTGGTATAAAAAACTTGTAGAGCTTTGAATTTATTGCTTATAAATTATAAAAAAAAAATAGTGAATCAATCTATCATAATTTTTTTCTTGTAATTAACCCATTTTGTCTTTTTCACTTATTTTACTTTAAACATCAGTTCTTATTAGCCAAAAGGCAAGAAAAATCATTATAAAATAGACTTACGACATTACACTTATTTTTAAAAGCTAAATTTAACGACATTCTTTCCAGATTCCATTATACTTTAGGTTTAATTTACTAAGAGGTAAAAACAAAATCACCAGAACTGGAAATGTTTGTATACAAAACATAAACATTAGTAGAAAGCGTATCTAGGCATATTAAAGTTAGGAAAAAAAATATGAAGGATTAATCATCTAATAACTGGACAATGTCACTGGAACATATGAATGATCTGAATTTGAACGGACTATTAAAGAATAAAAATGGTAATTAACTGACAGTTATGTAAGGAAAACATAATTTATAAACTGAAAAAAATATCGTTAAATTGTACTAAAACTAAGACTTTTTTTTTTTTTTTTAATTTGAATTTTTTGACTGCGGGAACTGAGTCCATTCGCCAAACCACATCGATTAAACTAAGACTTAACATTATATATATTTATATAAGAATAATGTACTGGTAAATTAAGAGTGGAAAGAGAGCAAACATTTTGAAACTTAAACGCGATTTCAAAATATTTTTTAAAATTCCACAATATAATAATAGGTTTTTTTTATACATAAGAAAAGTATTCAGAGAGCTATTAAAATAACGTTGAATAACTTTGATATGTATGATATTTTTTTAAGTAGTGTGCTTTAAATAAATTAACAAATGCTCAATAAACTATTAAATAATTATTAAAGAAAAAAAAAAAAAAATAAACACCTACGAGACGAGCCAAATAAAAACCTTAAAGTGACCTAAATAGTTTTGATACGTAGAAAACTCAATTGGTTGACATAAAAATAGCAACTCAAAGAAAAAGGTGAATTAATATATATAGAAAAAGAAGAGATTTTCTTATATAATGGTATAAAAAGTTCAAAAACAAGATTACCGTAAACAAAAGTTAGTTGACAACTAAACATTTGACTGCCTCGTATAGCTAAACAAAAAACAACACTCTACACTCTCTGAATCCTTTTTTTTAAGAGGAACAAAAATCTTACCCACCAACACTTTTCGGCTTGAACTGTATCAACCTGGTGAGCATGCTCATGATGCACGGAATTTGCTTCTGTCGATGCATCGATGCGTTGTCGGGCACGTTGCTTTCGAAATTCAAAGCTACACGTTGAGAGACGAATGTTAGGATGGTCATGAGGTCCAGTTCGAAGGCTCTGCTCTTCAGTTCCTCGACCAGCGATTGGATGAACCAGGAGCCTTTGGTGGTATTTCGCCATGAGTAATAACCTTGATTAAAGTGATTTGTGATGAATATGTGAAATGATACGACAAGACAGGTGTAATAAGTGTTAAAAAAAGAGTTATTATATTGATTAGAGTGTTATTATAAGTAAATTAAGCATGCATGACCCTTCTAAACACTTACTCATTATTAATTTTGGGAGATTACGTTTTTATTTTCATAAATAACGTTTTATCTTTGATTTTTTGACAGGAAAAGAAAACATTTTTTAAATAATACAATTTTACCAACTAAAATTGAAAAAAGTCATCATTAGATGTCCTATCTCCGTTAAATTGAATTTACAATTAAATATAGAATTAACAGATTGTTCTTTGAGTAAAAAAAATTATTAGGCCTATTTTTATTCATCCGATTTTTATAAAAAAAATGATTTAAGTCCTCAATTGACTGTTTTTTATATTAATTTTATTAGGAATTTGTTTTTGTTTTAAATAGATTTGACGAAGAATCGTTCCATTTTAAATTAATACCAAATTATGATGCGGAAGTAACAACATCCTATTTGAATATTAAAAAGTGTTTGGAATTACTTCAAAAGAGGAAGCTAAAGATAAGGATATATTTTTTTACCAATTTGTATCGATGCCATTGCAACTCTGTTGTAAACATTAGATTAGATAAGGATGACGTGTCATTGCAAAAAAATAACAATTACGAAAAAATTTGAAGTGCAACCTCGACTAAAGATAAGTTCCATTGTTTACACGATTTGTCAATTCTATATAACTTGATCCAAAAAAATAAACAAAGCCTTATTAAAGTAAACAACTATGTACGAAAAATAGTTGAGTCATAATTTTAGAACATATCGCAAAATTCATCTAAATTGGGAATTAAAAATCAATGATTACTTTTAAAACATTTCATTAAGATGTTTTCAACACATGAGACAAAATAATGAATATTTATGTTTACGACACAATCATTACTTCAAATTTAAAATAATAAATGTTAATGAATATTAATTAATAAATAAATATCAATAAATAACAATAAATATCAATAAATATCAATAAATATCAATAAATATCAATAAATATCAATAAATATCAATAAATATCAATAAATATCAATAAATATCAATAAATATCAATAAATATCAATAAATATCAATAAATATCAATAAATATCAATAAATATCAATAAATATCAATAAATATCAATAAATATCAATAAATATCAATAAATATCAATAAATATCAATAAATATCAATCGCCATTGAGTGAGGACGTAAAGGCTATTCCACTAACTTGCGACTGTTTTGGGATTTTGTTGGGACTTTAAAGGACTAGGTACTATACATAATTTATTACAATTAAAAGAGTATATAACTATAAAAATCGATATATGTATAGAAATTCATTTGATCATAAAAACATATATTCATATACCAATGTGGGACAAATTTTATTTTGGCTGTTTTTTAAGTTTTTAAAATTAATTTGTTTATCAATTTTGGTATATCATAAATAACAAAAAACACCCAGAAAAACAAAGACCATAAATGTTTATTACAAGGAATTTAAATAGGTAGAAAAGATGTAGGTGAGCAACGTGATTCATGAAGACATATAAGTGTTAGTAGTAGTAAATAGTTAAAATAAACATAAATTAAAATATGTAAATTATGTATTAGTCGAGATCATTGATCTAGAGAAAAATAAGTTCCTAGAACTGGGCAATAATTGTATTGTGTTTGTTTAAATAATTACCACAGACACTATTAACTTTGTTTTCGTTCCTCAAATGAATATTAGGATGATTTTTAAACCATTAATAAACATGTAGGTGTACTTTTAAATTTGATAATTTTATTTTCATGGCCATCCACAGCAATAACACATAAAATAATGCTTCAACAATAATTTTTCTAAAATCTTGTTCCATTTTATAAGGATATATTTATATAATTAAACATTGAATCAAAAATGTGGTAAAAAAATTTGAAAAAGGAAAAAGATATTTATAAAATAGTAAAATTTTGTAATTGGTTAAAAAAAATTGAGTTTAAGGACCACTAAAATTACCAAAAATATGGAAACTTGTTTTCAAGTGGGACATTTTAAAGGCCAGTTTATAAAAATTAGATCAACCCTCTAATGAGGGTAGCAACAACTGTTAACAGAGAGTAGAGTGATACCTCAATTTAAAAGTCATTTAATTACCTTTTTAACAGCACCTCATTTATTCAAGTATTTTTTAAAAATCAAGTAAAAACTTTATAAAAACTTGGGATGCTATTTTTGTTTTTTTGGAATTTTCATATTTTATAAAAGAGGGTGACTTGACAGACATCCTATATAATTCACATGGCATTTAACGTGTTAAAATCCAATTTATTTACAAATCCACATTTACTAGGTATTATTAAAATTCTACAAATATTAAACTAGAAATAAATAATTACAACTCACCTTTAACTGTAGAATAAACAATAAGGAAATCAGCCTGTGAAGGAATTTTATAAGTATTATGGAGCTCTCCATCAGTTTCAGTATTACTTAAAGTAACTCCCCCATCGAGCTTATCACCTTGACAGGCTTGCAAAAAGAATACTTTAGGTTTTCCTATATTGTAAAGAAATAAAAAATATATTAATTTTCTATTTATTTCATTTTAAGTTGAACACTAACCTGCCAAAGATGGACACCTGTCTGCTGTAAAATGTGACCACAAATAATCGGGTTTGTAAGGGGTGTCTTTTGCGTAAATTATTCCACATTCTCCGTGGGATAATATGGATATTAAGAGGCAGTCATGTTGGGAGTGATTAGCTTGGGCAGCTAAAATTACAAAAAATGTCACCTTATAAGTATTTCAAGACTGTTTTAATAAATAATATATTTTTGTTTAAATTTGGGTATCGCTGTTCCAGTTCAAAAGTTTTAGAATTTGAGATAAGAATGTATTATTAGTCAAGAATGGACATGATCTGTACAGTTCAACATTAGTATCTCTAAAGATTTTGTAGAAGAAAATGTAGAAACAAAATCTTTTGAGATATGTGTGGAACTGTATAGATCTTGCCCTACTTGCTATAAGAATACATTCTTATCTCAAATCCTAACATTTTTGACATGGGACAGCGATATATTCAGTGTTGTTCCTGGTTGTACAATTGTACAAAAAGTTGTACAATCAGTTATGTGGTTGTACTGTTATACACATTTTTGAAAAAATGTTGTACAATTTGAAGTTGCTAAATATTTATGTGAAATCTGGTATATAATAGGCTTTCTTTTGCAAATTAATAAAACAATAATGTTTAAATTTGGCGCCATTCACGACCAATAAGTACACTGTTTTAAACTGGAAAAAAGAATAATTTTAAGCATCGGGAAGTAGCAGGCCTAATGCTATCAATAAAAAAGAAAAATAATAATTAGTGTTTGTACAATCTAACATAAAAGTGTACAATTTTTACATTAAAAGTTGTACAATTCAAAAAATCTGTAGGAACAACACTGGATATATTCAATGTCTTTTATTTAGGTATTTATACATTTTGAAAAGTAACTAAACATTAAGATGATTTAAAACTATATAGTATCATAAATACTAGTACTACAGGGTTCTTATCTTGAACCACTGTTTAATCAAACTTTTGAGTGATATTTGGCTCTCAAATTAATCAGAATCATTAATAATATGGAAGATCATTCAAAAATCAAATAACATGTCTAAATTTTAACTCATGATACTTAATATTATTCATGCAGGTAATGATCTTAAAAATTTGTATTGGCTTACTGAAACTTGTGACAGCTCAGAATTGTTTTGAAATTACAAGTCTAAAAAAAGGTTATGTAACTAAAAGGATCATTATCAAAAATTGTTAGAAAACAAAAATCCTCAACAAAAACAAAAAAATTATATGGAATACAGTACACTCTATAACTGGCAAAAGCAAATCTACAGAGCCAATAGAGATCAATGTCAACAACATATTAATATCTGACAAAAAAACTGTAGCTAATTGTTTTGCTATTTTTCAACCATAGCTAGTAACACTGTTAGAGATAATTTTGACAATACAGATTTTCATAATAACACAACCATGCATGTAAAAAATACATTCTTCTATGATGGAACAGATTCCCAAGAAGTAACTGCAGTCATTAGGTCTTTAAAAAATACTAATGCAATGGGTGTAGATTGCATTACAACTAAAATAATTAATCTATTGGTCATTATATATCAGAACCAATATTGCATATCTAATCAATATGTCTGTAAAAAATGGCATATTCCCCAAAGAACTTAAAACTGGTATAGTATCACCTATTTTTAAAAAAGGGATCAGTATTGGGTCCACTCATATTTCTCCTTTACATAAATGACTTGCCTAACTTCATCTCATCCAGTTACATTTCAATTTAGGCAGACAATATCAATGTTGCTGTCGATACAAAATTACCTGAAGAACTTCATTCCAGATTGTCTCTTATTGCTAGAGAATTTACTGCATGGTGTAAAAGAAATGCATTAATTGTTAACTCCAACAAAACAGTACTCATTCAGTTCCATTCTAGATCAAGAATAAGTACAGATTTTTTAATACAAGTAAATAATGATTTTATCCCACTGTCTATGAAAACAAAATTCCTGGGAGTTCTTATAGATGCAGATATGAGCTGGAGTTCCAATACTGACTCATTTTCTAAAAAATTAAATAGTGCATACTATGCAATTCTCCAATTAAAAAATATGTTGGACACCAAACAGCTTATTCAAGTTTACTACATGATGGCATATTCACATTTAAAAGGATTAATAAAGTATTATTATTAATAAGTTTTAAATAATATTATTTATTGCATTTGTTGACATAATATGTATAAATTGTAATATAATGTTAAATGATTTTATTATTTTTATGATTTATATTTAAATCATCCTGTAATTTCATAGCTCCAAAAATAATTTAAGATTAATAAATAACTTACACATAATGGTCCTAAATTGGAGCCATATGGAACCTCAGAAAAAACTTAATAGGACCTAATCTTAATAATATTGTATGGTTAAAATGGTATGATAAACGAATGAACTTGTTTGTATTATATGTATTATTTATTATGAATTCTATAATTCAAAAATGGATAGGCTGAACAGGTTTTGTAACCATTCTGTTTGGATAGACATATAAGTAAATAAAAATACAAGGAAATATTAAAATCTGATAATTTAAAAATATGGTTTCACATTCATGCAAATAATTCTTTATTGGCAAAAGTGAAACAATAATAAATACACATTTTTAATTTCTAAAAATATAAATGTTTTGCACAGGATAATTATTTTAGATAAAAAATAATAGACCTTTTAAAACGTATGATTCATTAGAAGAACCCAATTTCCTTATAGATAATATTTTAATCATTTGCCTAATTATTGAGGCCATAGCAAAGGTACAAAATGCACTACAATGTTATCAAAGATAAAACTTATCATATAATTTCACTATCTCAATCAATACTCACTTCTTTTTATGTGATCTTCGATATCGAAATAATTCAAATCGACGAAAACATGCACATCGAATCCTAAATTAATAAGGCACTCTTTTAGATTTTTGCAGTCTTCGTTGGTTCCAGCTCTAGGCTTCAAATTTCCACATTCGAATTTTTCATGATTGAATATAAGAGCTAAACCCCTTTTTTTATGTCCCATGTTATAATGTGAGGCATATTTCGCAACTGGCATTTTAGCTACGACCTCCCCGGAGGGGTATCTGAAAATAAGCTCATCAACAAGTTGTAAGAATAATAAATTCATTTAAATTTCTATCCTTGGCCATGGCAAATGAGATGAGTAATTTTGGAAAGTTCACTGAACCTTGCCATTGAAACCTACGCAATTAAATAACCATTCGCTAACTTTTTATAAAAGTCTTACCCAGGCCTTCCGCGTGCGTCTCTTTCATCAGCTTTTCCGTTTTTAGAGAGCCCTAGGCATTGTCCGTCTTCAGCATCTTGAAAAGTATCTTCGATTTCCTCGATGTTATTAAATCCATTACCTACTTCATCCGAACCCTTTCCGCTCTCCATTTTCGCTATTTCATTTATTTCAATAACTGCCAAAATTACAACAAAGAGATTTAAAAATATTCGTACCCGACCTTGCGTAAACTCAAACACACACCTTTCAAAGTTGTTTGGATTTCACTGTTTTTGTTATTTGTTTTCGCCAATAAAATTGAAGAAAGGAATCATGTGATCGATACCAACCAATAGGAAGTTGACTTTCATTTGACAGTTCCAACTATACAAAGATCTTCTTTATAACTAGATAAGAAAATTAGTCAAGGAAACTGATCTAAAATCAGCAATATATTTTTTATATGTGCAATCCACAACTACACTTTCATCATGTGTCGCGATGTTTAATTATTTCTAAGCACTACCTTAGAATTAACTTTATTAATTAAGATCCTACTAACAACGAAAACCACTAGACTATATAATCAATTTCATTCATAATTAAGCCTTCATTTATTGCAAAAGTTTGTGTGTTTTATGTTAAGCATATAGAGTTGTCGCATCGACTAGCGCATTATGAAGAGCGAGCCGCCTTTTAAATTGAGTAGGGATGATTCGTGCAATATTATTTATCATAGCTGATAATGAGTTTTATGAATGAACCAGTTCGTACTACTATAACTCCTCCTTTACACTGTTGCCACATTGTAAAATACATAATAGTTGTATCCAGAAAAAAAACATGTACATGGCATTAATAATGCAAATTTAGTTTCTTATAATGTAATTTTGGAAGCCTTTTGTGCGTTTTAGAACATTATATTAAGTTTAATTCGAATTAATACCATAAATATTCCTTGTAACGATACTCTCCCGTGCTCTTTCAAAATAAATTGGCTACTATGTTAATAACATCGTGAATGCTTGCAATTCGGTTTTTGTAAACAAAATTAATCTAGTAGTTGTTCGTCATCGTTGGCTCCTATGTGATTAGTATATGTATACATATAGTCATGCAGAATACATTTTTAATTTTAATATACCGGCTCCCAACGTCCCAACCCCTTCCTTGCTGATTAAGACTAACCACTGAGCCACCAACATCCAATTTTTATTTTTCCTTTTTTCTCAAATACCTAAGCAATGAGATACGGTTTAATAATAATATAATAATACTCCCCCTAATTCACCCCCTAAACTTTAATATATATTTTAGTTAGAAATTTCAAGTCTAGTTATTTGAGGTCTTTATTTAACTGTGCGAGGCATTTTTTCACGTTTAATTGTTCCAAATAAATTCTTTGTCAATGATGTCATCAGAATTTAAACAATAAAGAAAAAGGATATATTATTTTTGAATAGCAGGGTCATCTATTCCTATGGCGACTACCAATTGAGGCGAAAAATACGGAAACAAAGAGATGTTTAACTGTATTAGAAAATTCTAGCTCTATTTTGACTTAAAAAACAAATCTTTCTCCGTTGTTTATTTAGGATAAGCGACAATTAAAAACCCTTAAAATACCCTATTTTTAACCTACTTCTACTTCAACGCTCTTAAACGAATTCAGCAGTATGTATTACTTCTCGAATTTGAAAATGAAATTTGTATTATACAATTTTAAAAATATTTAACGCGAGAATATGCCCAGAGCAAATGTCAACAATGTAATTGTCAAGTGTCAGTTATTTTACTCCACTTTTTGAGGTTAGGTTCGTTTTCCTCATGTAAATCTTTCAGAATCTTTTCATTATCCTTCTTTCTGTTTACAAATACAAATATTTATCCAGTCCAACCAGTGGTCAACTTGCTAGTAAAGATTCTGATATAAGTAAACATTGTTAACTGAATCCTGAAGCAAGTTAAAAGATACAAAAATCACTGTTGTTATAATTCAGCATGGCAAAAAGTTTACGAAGTAAATGGAGGCGAAAAATGCGCGCTGTAAAGCGCGAAAGGTACGGCAAAAAGGAACTAGATAGACTGAAAAAGACCTTAGGAATTGACGATGCACCTGCAACTTCTGATATAAACGTAGAAGCAGAAATGTCGGAAGTGATAAATTTTACCACAGTAGAGGAAATTAAGAAGAAACGAAAGGAAAAACAGCCAGATAAAGATATAATGGACCAGGACACAATAGATGATATACAAAAATTCAATGCAAAAACATTAAGGAACGAAAATGGTGCCTACCCAGTTTGGGTACATCCGAGAAAAATTAGGAAATGTAAGAAATCTAAAGATAAACGCAAAAAGAAGTCTAATGGTAAAATTACCAAAAAGTCTGCTAAATAAACGGTTTGTGATGATTTTATCTGTTAAGTTAACTAATCTTGTTAGTTTTTTTTTGTAAATATAAGGTGGAATTCAAATTGTGATTTTTTATTGTAATATAAGAGTCCTATATAGTCTAGTAGACTGCATTTATGGTACTAAAGATAATAGAAACGAAATATTTGTTTAAAATACTTTATTGATATGATTAAAAAATTAATATTACAGTTTGGCAGTGTTTACAAAACTAATTTACCTAAAATATTGAAATTTAATATAATTGTCAAGGTAAGTTATAATAATTTAAATACATTTTCATCAATTTTATTTTTTGAAAACCTCATAACATTATTTTTTTTCTTAACTATTTTACTTATTTAAACAATATCACTTGATAGGACAGTATTCTTAACTAAAAGATTTACATATACACAAATATTATCTAGCTTAAAATTATCAGTCATGTAATTATTTCACATACAAATTTTATTATAGAAGGCACATTTTTTCATTCTGTCATACTTTAGCACCAGCTCGTCCACTTTTTCTGCCTTTTTCTCAATGGTGTTTAGTTTCGTCTTGAAGACATGCATGTCATTCTTGTAGTTTTCCTGAAAAACAAATACATTTAAATTTAAAGAAAAGTCATTGTTGGTAAAAATACGCTGTTAGTTCAAAATTCTTTAGGACTACACTGATTTGGATGAAAAACTGTAATTAAGCTTATATTACCCACCTCTTCAAAAGTTATGTTCCTAATATACACTTTTTATTTTTAGGGGTTAAAAATAATGAAAAATTTTTAAACTACATGTTCAAATATTAAAACAATTTTTTTTTTTATAATATTGAACATAAATTATGAATTATTGTAATGTTCAACCATTAATTTTATTTTATTTAATAATGCTTTTGGACTATTCTATATTTTTACTAGAAATAATTAAAACTAAAAATAATGAAACCTCAAGTAATTTTTATCATACAGAAATCAAGCAACATTTTTTGAAAAAATATGTTTCAACTGTGTTTTGAGTTATTATAAAAAAAATTATTAACTTTCACCACCGAGAAGGTAGCATCCACCATCATGGCAAAAATATACATTGGTACTATATAAATTTTCTTCCTTGAGCCATCCCTTGCTGTCCAAATATAGTGGACTAAAGAAAAAAACAATAATAGAAAAGAAGACATTTTTGTGAATTTTTTCTTTTAGCAATTATTAAACGTGATAGTTAAAAGACAGTACTGTATTATCATTTTAATTCTAAAAAATAATTGTATTATTATTGTTTGTATGAATAGATTTCAGCAATTTATTACTCATACAATGTTTAGCAACAATCTTTTTTCATTTTATTTTATGACCATTTATTACTACCTACTTTCATTTTTATTGTAGATGTATTGTGTATTGCCTGCATCTAGACGTTACTAAATGTTGTGAAATGGGTATTGCCTACCTTTGGGCACCTAACTTCTCATAATTTGGATTTGATTCAAAGGCGTGTGTCATTTCAAAGAGAATTTTCAGTTATTTAGTATTTTACGCCTTTCATTTTACTTGTTCTTACTTTAAAGTTAGTAAATTGTTATAAAAAGTTTAAAATATTATGTTCTAATATTTAAGGGTGCGAATCAAAATAAAAAATTAATGATGGTTTGCTTTATAAACCTCTGAGGCCGACTGAGCGACTTGCTGTGACGCTCTGGGGCAACTTAAAGATGCCCTAGGCGCAAGGCTGTACATAAAGGAGGTACTCAACAGGGTGCAAGAGGCGAGTTCGGATAGACAGGGGCTGGAGCGGGACAAATTTTAGGGTGCTTTTAAATGACATTTAAGCGTGTTAAACTGTCACTAATCGGACTAAACCGAACGCTAAAAGGGTCGTTTGGAGTTAAAAGTGTTAAAAGAGTTAAAGGAACTTGGCAGACCGAACGCAATGAAGGTATCCCCTCTTATATTAATCTGTCGCGCTTGAGTAAATCCCAAAATCCCCTCTTGGGATCCCCTACTATTAGTACACAGTGACACAGGTGCATGTTTTTAATAGAATAATTTTCAGATTTAACTGTGGCGTGCGTACGGGCACTGACTGGGATGTTTTTAAAGAAAAATGGTACGCCAATGGTTTTTTCCATAATTACACTTATTTTTAGAATTTCCCATTTAATTTAAAATATAAAAGCTCTCTTGAATTATTTTCCTGCGATGCGCCGTTTTTAAGTAATAAAATAAATATAGAAGCTGTTGGTATTGTACGAGAAAATTAGTGTAATAATTATTGAAGAATAGAAAAAAAAACGGTACATCTCAGAAATACAACTTTAAAAACCTCTTATGTTTTAAATAGAACAGAGAATTCAAAAATAATTTTTATTTGGGAAAAACCATTGGCGTGCCATTTTTCTTTTTATTAAAATTATCAATGCTCGTACGCGCGCCACTGTTACAGATTAACATTATTTTTATATTGAAAAATATGCACATTTATAAACTGCACTGCTGACAAAAGGTTACTGAAATATCTCCAACTATTTCAAAAATATTAACTATTTTCTTTTTTTTTCTAAAATTTTAACACCCTGTATTTTTCTAACGAAACATTTTTCTGGCCATCGTTTACAAAATAAACTATCATTAATATCATGCAGATTCACACCCTGTATACAGTGACGTAAAGTGTCGTCTCTACTAACGAACAAATCGATTTTTATTTCTAACTAAGCACTTTTATATAATAAAAAACCCTAGCTAGCCCTTAAAAATATTTAATGACAACATGGGTAAATTTTTATAGCTCATTTGAAAGGGTTTTTTAATTCTTTATTTAACAGTTTATATATATTTAAAACTGCTTTATTAGTTTTTGACTTAAGTACCGTTTGCACCGCATTTTGATTTTACTTACCACATCATTTATTTTATTTTGTAAACTATGCATGTCTTCAGAAATGATGTCCAAATCTTTGTAAACGCTTTTTAAATCATCTTGTGAAACATCGTTCTTGTGACTTTCGCCCATCATCTGCAAAAATAATAAAAAAAAGACCTCGTAATGTAATATTTTTATTTATTGTAATGACTTTTGATATAAAACGAACCGTTTCGAGTTTCAGGAGCCTCTTGTCCAGCATTTCGAATTCTAAATCTTTCGCTTCTATGCCACCATCGCCATTATCATCTGCAAAACAAAATAAAAACACTTTTCATTGATATTTTCTATGAACTAGAAGTTAAAAATGGTTTTTAGGCTCTTCCAGACCAACACGAATGTCGCCGCGAATGCTAGATTGAAAATTCGCACTAGTCTGATCATGTTGATGTGTCTTAGTGAAAATAAACTACCTAAACAAACCAAGTGCTTATATAAACGTTATTTTGGTGTCAGAAGTGGGATACTGTAAGTAAATAGTGGGTAAAAACGTCTAAAAAAACGGAATAATTTAAAATAAGTGGCAAAGTTAAGTCGGGAACTAGAAGGTCTTGAACTGGAAGGACAGCAGATTTAGCCAGCGATTTAAACAAGCAATAAAAGTGAGAGGTTGGATTTGGGAACGTTTCTATTTTCAGATGACGTATCTTCTGGTTATAATTTCTTTTGATATCTTTGCAGAATAAAGTGTCTACTAATATTTCTTCCTTAGAAAATAAAGTGTCTTCTTATAAATCTTTTTTAGAAAATAAAGTATCTCCTGATATCTATGAGAATGTATGTAGCAACCATATATAATTCTAAAGAACTACTTCCAGTTCTACTTGTCTTGTATAAGACTGGTAAATACTAAACCAAATATTTAAATTGCTTTGAAAGTATGAATGAGGTAATTAAGATAGCGTTTTTGTACAAATATTTATTGTCGATGCATCAAACGTCAAATTATATGTCAAAATAACAATGTCAAATGTCAAAAACGTAATCATACCTTCTTTTCTACAAGTTTGGCCATCTTTTTGCAATAAGAAATCCTCCTTACATTGGCAATTATAACTGCCCGGTGTGTTGTAACAAATTTGATCGCATGGTTTTTGCTCTTTACATTCGTCGATGTCTATTTCGCAGTGACGTCCCGTGAAGCCGGAAAGACATTGACAGATATCGTGCTTCACGCATGTGCCGCCATTTTGGCAACCAATCGCACAGTGAGCTAAAATGAAAAAACAAATTTGTAACGAATTGTACGAAAACATGAGTTGATATTAAAAAAAAACACAGTAAGTAGTTTATTTAAAAGGCCAACCACACATTTGTGGCTTTGGTGTCGCTGGTATATCCCACAAAATGCCTAAATGTGTGCTTGGCCCTTTGAGTGATCTACTGTTATTTCGAATTCATCGCAAGTCTTTTGAACTTAAATTGGACCATATTGATGAAGAACAACATAGTCAGAAATAAATGTGTGCTCTTTGGCTTTTGCCTTTTTTTTGTTTGCGGAATGTGCCTTATATTTTTTTTATTAGATAGATGCTTAACCTTACTTTTGTTAAAATTGAATATAACGAAATTTTCGATGTATTTTATCGAATAATTATTGCTATCATTGTACCTACATTATCTAGGTATAAAACTTACGTGTTCGCAAATCATTTTCACATTGAAGACCATCGAAATCTCGTAGACAGCTGCACGTATCTTTCTTTATGCATTTTCCCCCATTCAAGCAAGGTTTGTGACATTCAGCTAAAACAATAATTTTCTCAATAGATGGATAATCATGAAAACCTTCTATAATTACAAAAATATCACTTTGAATAACTTAACGATATAAATTGAGTCAAAATTCAAGGTGATGATAGAAGAACATTTTTAGATTATATAGAACAGTAATTCTACAGTCTTTGGCTATATGGAAGCGACAATCAATATAAAAAGGACAATAAGATAATGGAGAAACAATACTAATGATAAAATTTGTGTATGGACTTGTATTCTAAGCAAAAAAATGTGTAAAATTTTATTTTGTGGCTAATTATTGCGGTTTGAGATAACGCTTTGAGGAAACGCTTCGTTTTTACTATTTTAGCTTCCTCTAGTTTCAATCTAGTGGCAATAACTGAAGAATGTTATTTTTAATTTTAGTAAGTTTTGTCAGAAACAATTTGACCAATGGGATTTTTCTATAAAATATCTTTCAATTCCTCTGCAGTTATTAGTCAATTTCTCAACAATTGCTTGGCAATTCTTGTAATTTTCGGGCAATTCTTGTAATTCTCCAGCAAGTCTCGTAATTCCCCGGCAATTATACGGCAATACCCAGAATTTCCAGCAATTAATACAATTCTTCTCAATTTCTTGTTTATTATAATAAACAACTGTATCTGGGCATCTTAGGTAAAACATAGTTGAAGACAGACAGTGTAAGTTATACTTTTCATTATTAACATAGCTGTTGAAAAGCTTGGTTTTGATCTTCATGAAGCTTCTATTTAACAAAGATTAAAATACAAATCGGGAAAGAAGAAGAGTCTGATGAAATTAGTATGACAATACTTATTTATTAAAATGAACCAACAATTTTGAAAAAATACGTTTTGTTTAACTTACGTGGACTAATAGGAATCTCGCATTGTTGTCCTACGAATCCTTTAAGACAGGCGCACAGTTCTGGTTTCACACATTTTCCTCCGTTTATACATGGTTTGGTACAACTTGCTGAAAATAAAAAATATATATATCTATATAAAATTATTATTAATTGATATTAAATGGGGTAAGGAGAACAGTGTTGTTCTTAAAGCGACACATTTGTCTAATTTGAATAGGACCAATCATAACTAAGATATACTCGTGTGCCCTTTTGGTAATACTACGGCCTATGTTTTTCATTAAATATATTATCTACATGAGATTTTTAATCGCCCAGCGTTTTCCTAAATCGAATCTGACTAATAATAACGAAGATAAGGGCGAAAGTGCACGTTTGGCGATGTTTTTTTCGTTATGTATTTCTATACGTTGAAAGTTGTTTTTAGCATTTAAATCGAATCAATAATAACGAAAATATACACTTCTGCCCATTTGGTGATACTAGTGCACTTATTTTTTCATTAAATATTACGTATATGTGAGATTTTGAATCACCATGCTCTTTAGTCATAAAAATTGGACCAATAATAACTAATATATTTTTAACTTTAATTCGTATTTTCCATTATCGTCGTATGACTCCTGTTATGACAGGTACTGTAGTCGTCTAGCGGCGATTAGACGATGTATGGTGACAGGTAGTGCCATTTTGGGGTAAATAGATGACTCATAGTGGATTTTATTTGTTGCACTAGTGTCACACTCGACACTGTATTCGAACTGTCATACTTGTCAAAAGTATATACTACACGTGTGATACTGTCAAATATTTGAAGCTACACTGAACAAATCAAATGCGATTAGAGCAGAAAACTTACACCTAGTGCAACAAATAAAATACACTATTAAAAACCCTCGTTCACTTGCACATGGTTTCTACTGCGCATGCTTTCCCATAACGAACATAGCTAATTTACTAATATCCCGTCATACAAAGGTGCCATTAAGGTAGTCTAAAGAGGAATTGCTACGAAGATACTAAAATTTGCAACAGTTTTATAGTCTGCTGAACATTTGATATTTATTAGAGTCATGTAACTCACCTGGAAACTCCAAATTTATGATTCTATATTTTATCTGATTCATTTGTGGATCGTATGTAAATTAAAAAGCAAAATATAAAAGGGTATTGTGTATAATAACAAAAGCAACTATTGTAAAGAAAGCTTGAGTGACACAATGGAATACAATATTTTAATAGTCGCCCTTCACGATGATATTGACTTAAATATTATTGTAAAATTGACGGGACCTCTACTCACTACTAGATGCTTTTCATTAGCAGTCGCCTGAACTTTGAAAGTTTAATCGAGATCTAGGTCAAATAACTCTAGAACTTCCATGTTTTAAATCGGCACCCTCGCCTTTAATCTATTTTTAAGTTGATGTTAACCTCAAAAACAGAATACGCAACATGTTAACGGTATGTTCCTGCGCATGCAGCTGACTGACGGTGACGTCACGTGGGACATAGAATAATAAGCAATAAATGGAAGATAGTGTTTAAAATTCGATATTTTGTCGATTTTAGATTTTATGCAGTTACTTTATAAGCTTTATTGGTTATTTTGTAATATATTCGTTTACAAATATGAAAGTTTAAGGTAAATAATACTAATAAAAATATTAATTTTTCTCATAAATTATAGGTATTTTATGACAAAATCCATAACCTGGTCACAAAATAAGTAAAAGATATAGACTAAAAATACAAGTTTGACTCAAATTTGTACTTTCTAGGCGTGTAGTTCTCTTGGAGTCTCTTTTCTTATTATGTGAAATAAAAATAAGTGTGTAGAAGCAAATCATTTGTTTATAAAAAGTAAGTACACAAAAAAATTACTTTTTATTTGGTAAATTTAAAATTTTTTGTCAAGTCTACCTTGAAAATACTCAAAACCAATTTTTCTGTTTATTTATCTTGTTCTTATATATTTTCTTGTCCTGCTCATGCATGGCATTACTTTAAAAGGACCGTTGTATTGGGGATAGGAAACTACTGTTTTATCTGCTAAAATTTTTAAATACCGATTTATTTTCTTTGCTTAATGAGGCCCGTGCACCTAGTGGAATTCAGTTTCCTTTTCTTTCGTCTATGTTTAAGAAGAATTTCACAACTACTTTCCTAAAAGTGGATAGAACAACTTCAATTAAGCTTGTCTTTTCTTCGATAAGAATTTATCCATATTTTGTGGCATTTGGAAATATCTCCACCGCACAGCCCGGCATTTTAGACATTAATTTAGTTCTTCTCTCTGTTATATATAGGAAAATATTGTCACTACCTCCGAGCAATTACTAATAGAGGGAGCGTGATAACGAGTTTGTAGGCGATTGTTGTGTTAGCAACATCTGTAGAGGAAGTGAGGAAGCGGGCACAAGGGAGAAGGTAAACATCCTTCTTGTTCAGTGGCGTATCATTTATCTATAAAAACACACATGGTCCAAACGTTTTAATTGTAAAAAAAAAACTAAAAAATTTGCTAATTTTAAAATAAATATCGTGTTATATGTGTCTAATGCAGGAAATGAAACAAAATCACTGTAAAGGTTTAATTTTTTCAATTGAAGAATATAACCTTAAAATCAATTTTATTATAAATAAATACAGGAACGACTAGTTTCGGCCTTACAGGAACATCTTCAGGCCTGTAATACAATAATCTTTAATTATTATAATAGGTTGGTCACTTACGAATAACATTAAATAGTATAAGCCATAAAAATGGATCCATATTGTAGCGTTACAGCATTATAGAATTAAAGCTGTGAAAATAAAAGAGCAGTGCAAACTTAACTAAAAATAAGAAAACTGAGTACGGAATCTACAAGAGAATAGGTGAGAATGACCTTTAAATTGCTCGGGTTAACAAATAAAGCTGATAATGTAGTGGTATAGTCCCCGTCAATGAAGGTCTGGATATGTTAAAGAGGACGGCGTTTTCTCTGTAAATCTGGAGAATGTAAGGATGGAGGGAAGACGAATCTTGCTGGCTCAGGTGGCTAGAAAAAAGGGCGTGTAGATGAGAGCTCCAGTAAATATCGTCACTTTCGTCTAATTTTTTCTCACTCGCCGTTTCGGCTTTATCTTCGAAATTCATTTTCAAAAGGAAATAAAACTAATCATTCATACAAGCATATAATAAAACAACATGAATTCATTATATTTAATAAGCTAATAAACGTTTGTTTCAACGAAGAAAAAACATAGTGAATATAAAAAATATATAAATAGATAAGATTAATATCAAAATCAATATGAAAATACAACAGATAATAAAATGAAATAAATTAATACAAGTACAAATAGCAGTTAATAACATACCTTCTAAAAGTAACACATTTTAAGTAGATAAATGTTTAAAGAGTTTATTTCTGAACATAACTAATCTAACGTTTTTCCCCTTTTTAATATTATGAGGGTTTTTGTAGTTGAAATGAAAATTATAATTTATTTTGGTCCTAATAAAAACTTAAATATAGGTTATCAAAGAGTAAAATACATAATAGAACTTCATAATCCTAAATCGGTATCAAAAATTAGTAATGGTAAAACTTCAAACAATAATTAGATTCTTAAACAAATTTCTAGTTTTTGTTTTGCAAAAGACTTTTTTGCCTTCTTCAGTTGCCTTTGCCACTTTTCTTTTAGTAGTTTCGAGGAGAATTTTCCTATGAAAACCAGTAGAACCATCAATTGGTTGGTAAAATTTTGATATTTTGGGTCTCGTAAGTCTTGTCAAACTTTCTTCTTAGGAAGCTGTAACCTTAAGGAGAATAAAAATTTAATGTTAGATCAAAAGCTCTTAATTGAGAATTATATTTGCATAGGCCGTTTTAATAATATTTTCAAAAGTTCTTGGAATCGTTGTTAACAGAAACCTGCAAAAAAATATATCATTTTATTCCTAAAATATAAAATATCACACAATGCACATTCATATAATATCATTGTGCTAGAAAAATACTAGGTAGGTACTGAGACAATTTAAAAAAAGTATTTCAAAAAACTCAACTTTTAATGTCATCATTGTACTTAACTTTTTTATTGCTAAATTATTAATAATGTAATTTTGTATAGTTCGTTGTGATTTGTATAATATATATTATAAAAACCTATCGTCAATGTTAATGTGCCAAGTTTTTTTAATAATTATGTCCTTGTTATAGTAAAAACACATTTTAAAAGTTTTCTGGATTTCTGCTTTAAATTATCGTACAATTGAACTGACTTATTGTGTGTTTAAGTAATGGTATATCTCTTTTTTGTTATAACAGTCTTTGTATATTGTTCTACCTTTTTAGATAATTAGAGAAAACAGTAAGACATCTTAATATATCCTATCTCACCAACAAAAATGTAGAATAATTATTAATCTCACATCAAACGAAAAAAGTCATTTTAGGATGTCCTAATAGGTTTTAACTTAAAAGCTAAATAAAATGTATATTGCAACTGTGTTTAAATAAATGAATGTTTTTATACCTGACTATAGCACCCGGCAAACGTTTTTATAGATCATAATGATCTGCATAACTCAAAATAGTCAAAATCCACATTATTTAAGTTGTTCTAGTATTGTTTGAGCATAACGATGTAAACTCCAATAATAAATATTCACATTTTTTTGGGACGTTTTTTAAGGAAATTAACAAAAACATGAATAATGTGATATTCTTGTTTAGTTTTGTACTATATAATATAGTTCATTAGGTAGTGATTTAGAAGCAAATTATGTTCTATTTATAGAATAAAAAACCACTCATAATATCTAAATATTTATACCAGGAAGACTATTTTATGTTTTTGGCTCTGAATAGTTTCCTTAAGAATTTTAAAACCTTCCTTAGCTCTTTTGGGACATTCCATACATATCTTAGAAGTTCATTTTGTTTAAACCTAAAACAAATTAAGTACAAAAAATAAAAATTTAAACAATACACAAAATTAGTCTTTTAGATTAGTTAAAAAAAGTGTCAACAAAAAAATGGATATGCCTTTTTCCTTAAACATTCTTTTTGAAAGAAACTTAAGTTTCGACTTACTTGCTGTTTTAGTATTTTAG